TCTAATAAAGAAAGCTAATTCCTTAAATAATATAAACAGTATTCATTTAGATTTACAGCAGATATACAGTATAGAATGAATACAGCATATCCAAAGGTGAAGATGTTTGTGTGTTGGTGGTCAAACTGAGAAAAACAGCATGAAAAACAGTTTTATACAACCCTATAAATGAAATCTATCGAATGATGTCAATACTAATATTTCTTTCGGAGCCTTCTTCAAAGCGAAGAAATGGTAGTTTACGAATCAGCCATCTGCCGCAGACGATATCCGCATTAACTGAAAACTATCACCTTTAGCCCGAAGAAGCCCAAAAGATGCGTCACTCACCTGCTAGGACTTTGTATTGAGTTGCGTATCGCTCCAGGTCAAATCAGTTGTTTGAGATAATATTTTATATTTCTTATTCAAGGCATTCCCAGTGTCCAAATAAACTAAGGTTCTCCAGTTTTAGAACGGCAAAATCACAGTTGAAGAGCCGACAACTATTCGCCTTCTGTTCTCTAAATATGTACAAACGAGTGCACCACTATAGAGAAGGAAACAGGAGGCTACATGGGATAGTGGCAACTTACGTGAAGATATTGCCTTAAAAATCAACCAGTTCTTACTGGCGGAATCGAAACAGATTAGCCATTTAATAAGCCATATGAAAGAATGGTGCCACCGATCTCTCTCACCATGATGTGCTAGGGTAGAAATTACAATTGGCAAAAGCTGTTATTTGTGCCATCTTAATTAAGAAGGTTACTAACAAAAGTCACATTCTCGAATTCTGGTCGAAAAAAGACTACTGCATTTACTTCTTTGATTTTAACCGAAGCTGCTTTCGTATGTTGATTCTCAGATTCAATACGGAAAAAAGTTATAATTACAGCACAACGCAAAATGTTTCTTCTTTCTTCACTGATGCTGCTTGTCTAGCACCGAATGGAACCGAAAACATAAGACAACTCTGAATGTGCGTTCAGAAAAAGAACTGATTGTGCTGCGACTTCGTGTTAGTACTAAGTTCTAATTTTACTTTTTTACACGTTATACCTACTAGTAATTTAAAGTCGGCTGTGATCTTAAGTTTGAACGATTGTAAGTTCGGACCTCCGTGCTGCTCCACTGTTCGCAGGCCGCAGACTTGCTACCCGTGTCTAAGCTCGCTGCACTGTGCTTCAGTGCAGCAGTGGGACGAATTCATTGCTCAACAGAAGATTACACAAAGATTCCTTCTTCAGAATATTTTACGTCTCGCATCCTTGATTAGAATCGGCATTTCTAATGTGCAAAAGATATCCATTTTCTTTACATCACTGTTTTAATATATTATCGTTGAACTGATATAAGGCACACGTTTACGATTGAAATTTTTTGACGTTTAATCCAGTGATTTTCAGCATAACGTTAGGAGGGTTCGGCGTTGATCGCTTCTACCTTGGGCTTTGGCGCAGCGGCATTGGCAAATTATTTAGCTTTGGAGGTATTGGCGTTTGGACCGTTGTTGATGTCATTCTGATAGCTACGGGATACGTTGGACCTGCCGATGGTTCGCTCTATATGTGACAACGCAAAATTGGACGTCATGTGACAAAGCAAATGACGATGTCTGCTTACGGCCGACGAAGCTTCGTATTTTTTTGCTTTTTTGCGCTGTCCTGTTTAATCGTTTCGTCCAACTTGCGGAAAAATGCCGTTGAAGAAAACGATTTCTGTTCGCCAGATGAAGCCTAAAAAGTTAAATACGATGAAACCGACAATTTGAAGGGTCTGCGCTGAAGTTAAAGTTTAATTCAGTTAATAAAATTACGAATTGTATGAACTTTTACTTACAAATGTTTAACTAAATTAATCAAAGAAATAATATAGTTTTAAGCATTTCAT